GTGAGTGCCTAAATTAGCTCTGAGGATCGTAATTCATCTAACTAGTCAAGTCATTACCTCTATTAAGTAAGGCGATAACCCTTTATCTACAACTTGAGCGTCCCTAGGTCCCTGATATCGAAATATAATTGGGGTAAATTTTTCTTGATAAGGCAGTCAATTTATCTTCCAGGCATTGAGCAAGTTAATTAGGCCTGACGAACCCTAGGTTTTAAGGTTTGTCCTAATATTCAAGAAAAATAAAGAGTTCTCCCTTACAGCAGAAAATTAACTAAAGCAGTTCAGGAAATACTGGCTTCTACGACGCCGACCACTAGCTAGGATTCGTGGAGTGCAGACTACAGGAAGACAATCTTCAACCGAACCGTAGTGCGCGGACCAGATGTACGCACTACGTCAGGTCCTGAAACATACTTCCAGGCGTCCCGCTACTGTAGTATTTCTTAACTTTAAAACTGCGTAAGACTCCTGATTTTGAGGTTCTGTGGCAGTGCCTGGGTGTACCATAGAAGTTCCTTAACACGGGTTCACCACTCGTAATGTTGAAGCTAGTGGCGAACTATTTACCCAAATAATACTTCGGGTGGTATTCGTCAGGACAGTCAACTTTCGGTTCCTGTATAACTTTGTCGTGGTTATGGTTCTGAGCTTTTAGCAGTGTGCATTCTACCAGGAGACAATTCGCTCATATAGATTAAGCTGATAATATATCATTCGGTGGAGACCTTGATAAAATGCAGTCCTCTGACCACTAAACCTCTTGATTAACAACTTCGATCCTAATGTTTTCTATAACCGCAAATTACACTATCTTCGCCACCGGGATTTGATTGACAGCTGCTCCCCGTGCAAATGCGTAGTGGCAACCTGGTCTGATGTACGTACGTACAAAGTTCTACTTTGTAAACGACTCATGGGACCCAAAAGGACTGCTTGTCAATTCGGTACACACGTCAAACCAGTTGTCCTGTATGCCAATGAAACTTGAGGCACTACGAAAACCACCACTCGAAGGGCATGGGTGTTTATAGACAGTTGTGTACATAGGATACTGTGGATGCGCTGGCTAGACATTAGAAGTAACAGCCTATTTTGGCATAGAACTGGTCGGATTGTAAGTAAGAAGGATATAACCGCAAAGCGCTGTAGGTGTATTCAGAAAGCTACACTATCCATCACTAGGCAAGCGTTAGCCTTGAATATCCAAAGTCAATACAATGCGCCGGCAATTCGAGATTTACAAAAACTGGTAGCAACTGAGAAACAGTGGTGAACAGAGATGGTTGGACATGGATGGTCGTTGGATTATGTGCCAAGATAGGCAGCAGTCATAAGTAAATTAGTAAAACCTGTGGTTCTTTGATGTCCTTCCTAATTAGCTCATTGGGAATAGATGAATTCTGACTAGAGTTGTTGTATGTAGTAAGCGCCAAGGTGACAGGTGTAGACTGCCTAATTGGAGTCCGTGAGATAATAGTAACCGATGCTTAAATACGTTCAGTGACATGACTCAAAACAGTTTGCAATCATCTAAACTCCTCATAACTCTTATTTCCACTTTCTAAATTCATTTCACTGGGATTTACTTTTTGGATTATATCTTCGATCCTCAGTCTTCGCGATTACCACTAGTACTGCTACTATCGTTACCACCATGATGTTCGCCCTGAAACTTCCATCTGTTTGTGCTAATGTTGTATGTCAACATGAACTGATGTATGTACGTGTTAAGCTCTGTGTCGTTACTGACTGAAATGCATAATCTGTGTTATTCACATAGATTTCTAATAATAGTCCCAACATTGTATTGAATGGAGAGATTTTATCAATTAACTACCTCCAGCTCTCAACAGGTATGCTTAACTACTGCACCGAAAGGAGAATTTCATAGTTTATTAACGTTTCAATAGATGCTGGTGATTTAAAATCGTCAGTTTGGAAAAGTCTTAATTGTAAATAGTCGTTAGAAATCTTCGGAAACTAGGTTTCATGCAGCGCATATGATCTTCAGGAGGCCAACGCTTCTTGGCGGACTTGATCTCATGACATCATTCTTCAGAATCAGATATATGACCACTGATCTATTTAAGCCACAACTGATGCATTGTACTGGAGCACTGATGTACTGTTCTGGTTTTATCTATGGGACATAAACCTCACCAATAAACTTTGTTTCCTTTCAAAATTACAAGTACAGCTTGCTAATGGATGTTAAATAGTACGAAATCCATATCTTAGGTTTCATATTAACTACCCCTAATATCACCATGTATTACATAACAGTATAGTAGCTCATTTGATGTTTAATCATTTAGAACAGTGACCAGGCTGCCATTTTATCGTCAGGACTCGATTAGCATTAGGAAGTTTCCATACTACGTCAGTGCTGAAAGGTATTGCCGGATATTCGAATTACGATTAGTTTATTTTTTTGATTGTAGTTACTACTGAGATTTAAATTTGTGAGTTTATTTTTAATGTTTGAGTATTTTATTTGACCTGCGATGTTGATCTCTGCTGCACTAAGCTTTGAACCCAGTACTATTTGCTTCAAACAACAAATCGTTTATATGATAAGCCACTGATTATTGTAAATTAATTAACAGTATAGATAGTGTCATATATTGTTTGAAACGTCGTAGGCTATTATTTCTTAACTGCAAAGCGTCGTGTAAATCAGAACGATAGAATTATTCAACCTATCTATCTGTGATCATGAAGACGTGACCACTGAAGTTGAACCCTATCGGATGTCGGAAGTTACCTACCAAAGACAATAGGTGAGGTTGCGTAATACCTTGGTTTGTTTAAAGTTAGAAATCAATTCTGTTAGATGCCGCCTCATTGGTCCATAAGACCTAATGTACTGGGTTAGATTCCCGCGTGTGTGGGGTTATGGATGTGTATTGCTGGTGAATTGGCCGTTCAGTGCTTCCAGGTTTTTAATAGTGTTCTAACAATGGTCAATGATTCGTAATTTCAAAGAACACATTGCCTCCAGGAATTTGGGGTAAACATCAAGAGAAATAATAGCAATTAAGAACAACTGAGTAGGATAGCATAGTCGAGAGCTGGTTTGGAGTTTGCTGATAGGCGATCTATGCTCCACAAGGAGTAAAAGGCATAGAAAAGAAATCTACTAAATAATCTTTGAAATCAACCCGACAAAGTTAAGGATGGAAATACAAGATTTAAGAAAGTGATAATCTGTTGAGTTATTAGGCAACTTTGTGTAAGTGAATAATAGTGTTGGGATAATTTCATAGTTTAGTTAGTCGTACTCTTCATTATCAAATGTTTAGTGCTCATCTGTTTAAATAATCATTATTTTTTGTTCAAAAGATTCAATTTATTGATACTTTTTACAAATAAAACTGACTATGGACTGGTCTATTATCAAGACACTAACATATAATCTATCAATATGTCTAGGGGTGTTAAAAAAGGCCAGGTGTATATAGACAGCAGCAGTTCGCTCTTTCCTACTATATAGATGTGAAACATGGCCAGTAAGGGTATAAGACATTGGTAGGTAACTGATTTTCAATCATACGTGTCTCTGAAGCATTGCTCGTGTATCCTGGCACAACCGAGTAAGCAATGCTGTTGTTGGGAAACGGTTACTAGGTAAGGATGGTAATGCCTCGTCGAGCTACGTTTTGTGATGTAGGACTAGGTTGGAAGAGAGCTACGGGCGGCCAAACCAAAACATGGCATAAATCCATCAAGCCACTGACAAGTAGATTGTGTCACGTTGGTAAGTGTAGACTACCTGGTTGGGGTCTGCGAGGTGAAAGTAACACATGGCTAGAGAACTTGAACGATATGGTTCAAAATCGTTTGCAATGGTGTAGGTGCACTCATTCTTTGTGTTCTCTTAAATTCTAACCTCCTGAATTCCTCACCATCGCTATCTTCCTTTTTCTAAAACTGATGGGGTATGGCAACCTGAACGTATGTAGTTACGTACAAAGTTCTACGATGTAATTGACTGACTATATACAGATAAATGTCAGTAATTTGGTTAACCGATTTGTAACTCTTTTCTATCCATTCTCATATCTCTATCTCTTACATGAAGGGTGTATCCGTATTCCAATCGCATAGCTATGGAATATGATATATTTCGTGAAAATTAAGTCGTAATGATAAATTTTAATCAGCCAGCATGCAGTTGGACAATCTGGACCTCGCAGATGTTCCGGCTGTTCTATCGCACATGCAATAACAAATGCAAGAGAACATGACCAGTGTAGCAGCAGCAGGTCTTCCGATACAATCACTCTTGATGGAGATGCCTTGGAGGATGTAAAAACCTTCGCATATCTGGATAGCATCATTGACGAGCAAGGTGGATCTTATGCATATGTAATTGCGCAGATCGGCAAAGCAATGGGCGGCATTTCTGCAATTGAACAACGTCTGGAACTCCAAATAAATATCAATCAACACTAAAATCAGGATTTTCAATACAAATGTCAAGACAGGTCCACTGTATGGGGCGGACACTTGGAGAACTACCAAAGCCATCATCCACAAAGTACAGCTGTTTATTAACAGTTGTCAACGCAAAATACTTCGGATTCGTAGGCCAGACATCATCAGCAATAACCTACTGTGAGATGGAACAAACCCGGATTCCAACTGAGGAAGAAATCATCAACAATCGGTGGAAGTGGATAGGACACATACTACAAAAAGCACCAAATTGCTTCACAAGACAAGCTGTCACTTGGAACCCTCAAGGTAAAAGGAAAAGAGGAAAGTCAAAAAACACATTACACTGAGAATCGGAGACAGACAGAAATGAGAACAATGACTAGTTATTGGATAGAACTGGAAAGGGAAGCCGAACGATAGAGTAGGTTAGAGAATACTAGTCGGTAGCCTATGCTTCATTGTGTGAATAGGAGTAAGTAATAAACTGTAATAGAAAAAAAACATGTGATTTGTTTTTGGTTTTTTTTTGTAAAACGAACAATACTATTTATATATATAATTTAAGTAATCACTCTAAATTGTATCATATCATCATTGTTATTAATGGCAGTTTTTATTGCAACATCTAAACATGTTAAATAATGTGAAATAAATGATTCTATACAAAGTCGAAGAAAATGTTTACAACAAATTTCTTCAATATGTAATAACGGTTCAGTAAGTAATACTACTTTCATTGGCATATTCATTAATGTTTCATTCATTATAGATATACTGAAATAAAAAAATGAAATAAAACATGCAGCGTAAGTAATGTTAGGACGTAGTAGTGGCTACTAGAAAGTGAAATTACATAACTGGCGATTCATGATACTGGCTTAAATGGATGTTCCACTGACTGACTATCCAATATAAATAAATCACTATACCAACAACTTTCTAATTCTAACCTCCTTCTGAATTCCTCCTCATCATCTCTAGTCTCATTATTCTCCAATCGACCTGCCTGGTATGGTAGAACATTGATGAAGGAACATAAGTTCCAGCCAATATAGCTAGCTCGGTTGGGTCATCATCATGATAGGCAAGCCCGACCACCACACGTCAAGGTAGTAGCTTCGGTCGGGTCGGCGAGACGAAGTCAGTCAGTCAGTCAGTTGCAACGTAGAACTTCGTACGTAAGTACATCAGTTCATGTCGCCATACCACATCAGCACAGAGATATAATTGTCAATTCAAATCCAATAGTAGAAGAGGTAGTAAAGGTATTAGAAGTAATCGTAGACGTTAGAATTAGAAGATATTATTCACGAAGTATGATTCAATGAGATAAGTTTAGAAAGTAAAAGCTAGAGGTGTTGAAGAACCCAGAAGATTAGGATTTGAGAGAACACAAAGAATAAATGCACTGGCGCCATTGCGAACGATTTTGAGCCATGTCATTCAAGGTCTCTAACCATCGATTATTATCATCTCGCGGACCCCAACCAGGCAGTCGACAATTACCAACATGGCTAAGTCCACTCGTCAATGATTTCATGGATTTATGCCATGTTTTGGTTTGGCCGCCCCTAGCTTTCTTCCAACCTATTCCTACACCACAAAACAAAGCTCGACGAGGCAGTCGGTGGTTAGGCATACGCAACACATGTCCCAACCACCTCAACTGATGAAGTTTCACCACTTCATCGATTGATCTGCCATTCTTACCTAGCACCCGTTTCCTAATAACAGCGTTGCTAACTCGGGTGTCCCACGATATACGAGCAATGCTTCGAAGACACCTATGATCGAAAACCAATAACCGACGAGTATCTTCTACTCTCATTGGCCATGTTTCACAACCATAAAGTAAGACGGAGCGAACCACTGCGCAGTACACTCGTCCTTTAGTCAGCAAACGGATATCTCGCCTACGCCATAAGTGACGCAGGTTGGCAAAAGCCAATCGAGCCTTCTGTATCCGTGCCCAGATTTCGTCAGTCACCAGGCCATCAGCACTGATGAGACTCCCAAGATAAGTGAAGCGGTTTACACGTTCGACCACTTCACTCCTTATCACTAGTTCAGGTGCCGATGACACCCAATCTTGAAGCAACATTTTGCATTTCGAGGGAGAAAACCGCATCCCGAACATGCTTGCATTGTTGCTTAGGGTGGTCAGAAGACTGCATTTTGTCAGCGTCTTCACCAAGTAGGACAATGTCATCGGCATATTCTAAGTCAATAAGCGAGCCACCTGGTAAAAGGTCTACTCCAGAAAATTCAGACGAGGATAAGGTAATTTCTAGGACCATGTCTATGATAAAATTAAACAAGAATGGAGAAAGTGGACATCCCTGACGGACACCACTTGAAGTAGAGAATTCCGGTGACAGTTCGCCATAAGCTCTCACTCGACCAGTGGTGTTTGAATAGAGAGCTTGTATGAGGTTAATGTACTTATTTGGTACACCTTTCAATGACAGACACTGCCACAGAACCTCACGATCAACAGAGTCAAATGCCGCTTTAAGGTCCAGGAAAACAACTATTGTAGGACGCCTAAATGTGTGTCTGTGTTCCAGGACCTGTCGTAGTGTGAAAATGTGGTCTATACAGCCACGTCCAGGTCGAAAACCAGCCTGGTTTTCTCGAGTTCGCTCTTCACGAGCTTTCGTTAAGCGTCAAAGTATTACTGAGGCCAATATTTTAGATACTATATTAGTTAGGCTTATTCCTCTGTGATTGTCACAAGAAGACTTCTGTCCTTTCTTATAGATTGGGACAATCAGTGATTGAGATCAGTCGGATGGGATTACGTTCAGTTCCCAGATTCTACCTAAGATCTCAGTCAACCTAGCTGCTAAAACTGAACCACCATCCTTAAATATCTCAGGGGTCAGTCTATCAGGACCCGCAGCTCGTCCTCGCTTCAGATTTCCTAACGCTTTTTCAACTTCATTAAGACTAGGGGGACTTAGGTCGATTTGCCATTCAGGATGACTGGAGATCGTGGGTAACCGAAGAGTGGCTCGTGGCCAGTTGAACTGATCCCTAAAGTGTTCTGCCCATCGATCCAGTCTCCTGGATTGAGAATAAATAAGAGTCCCGTCCTTTTCTGAGATAGTCTCACTTACACTAGGATTCCTAATACCAGTTTCCTTGATAAGTCTGAAAAGTTGTCTACTGTTGCCGAACGCCGCTGCCTTTTCCATCGCTTTTGCTTTCGCCACCCACCACTGTTCGCAATCGTTACGTAGGCTTTTCATAAGTCTGCGCCTAAGTTGACTTCGTTCTTCATCATGCTCAGAGCCAGGTGGGATGCGTTTTCGAGCATCCATCAGTTCGGTGGATGCTACTGAGATCCACGGTTTCATTCTAGCCTTATGGTCAACCTTACTAGCAAATATCACTGCTGTTTCCACAGCCTTCTTTATATCATTCCATCCTGCTTCCGGATGGGAATCGCTTAAATGGTCGCCTAACTGTCTTTCTAGTTGTTCCTGAAATATATTTTTCGCCTTATTATCATTAAGTAAAACCCTAAGAGGCTTCCTTACGGTGTATTTCCTACGCCCTGTAAGCCTCAAACAAATACGAGCTCGCACTAGGGCATGATCTGAATCCAAACATGTGCCCCAGAACGAGCGACAGTCCTCTATCGAACCCCTCCATCGGTGGCGTATGGCGATGTGATCTAGTTGAGTTCAACGTTGAGACGACTTTGGAGGTCGCCAGGTCAACAGATGCTTTTCCTTATGCCTAAAGTTAGTGTTTGCTAAGAATAGGCGGTTGTCTGAGCATGTTTGCAACAGACGGTCACCATTGTCTGTTCTCTGAGCCGCGACACCATAACATCCACCCAGGTGTTTCTCCTGCTCACTTAGTCTACCTACTTGAGCATTAAAGTCACCAGCCATTATTACTATATCAGAGCGCCTAGCTTTTTGGAGGAGGTCCGAAAGCTTTCTGTAAAACTCATCCTTAACCTCGTCTGAACTGCATTCAGTGGGGGCATAGGCAGATACGATGAAGAGGCAACGGCGATTGTCCCTATCTTTCCGAGTCCTTACTGTCCCGTTTAGTCGGACAGCGCACAATCGACTATCTATCGGGATCCAGTCAAGGAGAGATTGTTCTGCCCTACGACTCAATGCTATGCCTACGCCAGCAAGACCCCTGGAAGCAGCATCAGGGCTACCGGATACACGAAGAGTAAATCGAGCTGCTTCTTTACTTTGACATGGTGTGGCCAAGTGTATGACGCGACTCGGATCCTGTATGCGCGTTTCCGAGACGCAGCATACATCGATGGCACGAGATTCTAAAGTCCAAGCTAAGGAAGCCTGTTGCCCTATTTGACACAATGTCTGTACATTAAATGCTCCAACATGTAGTCTAGAGCGAGGTTTAAGGAGACCAGGAACGACGTTTCGCGAACTCGTATCGTCTGCATTAGCTGTGCACTGTGATGAGTGAATGTGAGAAGAGTTAGTCGTGGAGATAAGAGAGACATTAGGGGGTGTAGGAAGGATTTGGTTTTGACCAATTTGGTCTCGCGTGCTGTTATGGGTATGAGGGCGGTTGTCACTTCCCGGCTGCCCACACCGTGGAAGGTTGTTTCTTGAGGGACCTGAAAAGGAAGATAGATTAGTGTTGGTGCGTGACCGCAGAGTCCAAGGGACAACTGCTTGAGGCCGGTCACGCACGGTCTTTTTATGAAATGTTTTTTGAGGATTAGCTCCGTTCTTAAAGGCCCTTAGTGGGCACCCTTACCCAAGGAGACGGAAATCCGTGAGTTAGGGGAGGTGTGACATTTTTAGGGCCGACCTTTTCTAACCCTTCCTTCCTTGTGAGAAGGCAGCATCGCTGCAGATGCTGGTTGTCCGAGGGAAACACCTTACTGCTGTCACACCCCTCTGCAGTCAGCAGTACGACTTCGCCCTCAGACCTTGGGTAGCTGCTTTTAGTCTCATCGTTCTCCAATCGACCTGTCTGGCATGGTAGAACCTTGAGGAACATATGTTCCAGCCAGTATAGCTCGGTTGGGTCATCACGATAGGCAAGCCCGACCACCACGTCAAGGTAGCAGCTACGGTCGGGTCGGCGAGACGAAAGTCACCGATGGTTAGAGACCTTGAATGGAAATGGCTCAGAATCGTTTGCAATGGCACAGGTGCGTCCACTTCTTGTGTTCTCTCTAATTCTAACCTTCTGAATTCCTCATAATCTCTATCTTTCTCTTCCTAAATTTATCTCATTGAATTAAAACTTCTCGAATCATATCTTCTTCGCTCCCTAATCTTCTCCGATTACTGCTAATAATTCTACTATCGCTATCACTGTTGGATTTGAACTGACAGTTGCGTCTGTATGCTGATGGGGCATGACAACTTGAACTCATGTACTTACGTACGAAGTTCTTCGTTGTATCTGTCTGTCTGGAGAACCCAATAAACTATACTTCAAACAATTAAGTTAAATCGTTTGCCAGCTAGAAGTCAAAAGAGCAGTTGTTGATGATCTCGTGATATTGGAAAAAAAATTATCAAGATCTCAGCAAATGGTGTGGGCAAGACTACTGAGGCAACGTAAGCAATGTTCAAGTCACGTGATCAGATAAAACACAAAGAAGTACAATAAAATAATCATCACTGATACAATTGGTTATAATGTAATAAATGTTTCCATTTCATCACTCGTATTCTCGTCATAAAAGTATATCACTACAACTGTGTCACAATCAATAAGTTCTGCTTAGTTCAATTAGTGACTAGCTTATTGAATAATAGTGTGGATTACAAATGACCGGTTAGTTTTTACTGTATATAAAATACATTTTGAGAGAGTTGCCTCTCTATTTTTTCTTTTCAATTCGTCAAAAGTTTTTAAAAAAACCATATTCAGTTGACAAGTGCCACAAGCAGGGAATAGAAAATGCTCTCACCCTGGATTCCATGGGCAACTAACCATTATTCCAAAAATTTTAAAAAACTTGTGATATAAATCAAATATTGAAGTAATTCACTACTTGACAATAATAGATAGATAGATAGATAGATTGTTGAATTTCATTCAATCCCTTTAATAAACACATCAACAATAGGAAAAATTAAAAATCTTTTTGACAGAAAAAATATCTGTCTAAATTGATGGTTGTGATTATAAGTTTACAAATATAAGTCTTCAAATATTTTTTTCTTCATCTAATTCAATACCATAAACAGGAAACTTGACAACATATCTAAGTGTTTTTCATATTTATGTGAAATAGTTGAAGGTAGGCGCATGTTTCCAAATAGTTTGGTACTTACTTATCTGTTGGGGAGATTAGTAGATCCCTTAGAACTCACTTGATAAAGAGGTCCTAATTTTAGATTTTTTTTTCATGGGCTGATCAACTGACCTTGGGATTACATTTTCCACCCGGAAACTCCTTGAATGTTATTGGTTGATGTATTATTTTAGTATGCTATTTTTGTGTCTCTCATCAAGGACGTTTCTATCATGTTGTATAAATAAGCTTGATTTGTGTACTTGTAAAACCTCATATTTTTTTGGGTGCTTGTAGAATACACTTTCTACGCCATATCAAAACTTCTTTCTTCAGTTAGACGGGGCAATGGATTAGAGTAGCCTATCGTGTCACTGGATCATTTGTCTTAGCTTTCGTTGACCGACTAGGGTGAACTCGTAATAGTAGGCATTCAAGCATATCAATTTGTCAAGCATAACATCAACAGCCCGATACATTTTTTTGAACTATTTCAAGGATAGATAGACAGAAATCTATTAAAACTAGATAGCGATCAAAAAATACATCGTTTATCTTGGTCAAAGTTTAGTGGTGATCAAGTCGAGATTGACTATGACCACCACTAAATACTGATTACGAACCCATCACTGAGAAGATAAATAAATCCATGGTAACGAGAATATATTTACACTACTGGCGATTTCATGGTGTCGTCAAAAGAACACCGAAATCGAGCTAACAAAGTGGGGTGAATTTATAGTGCTAGCTGGTAGAGCCAAAAAATGACAGCAACACAAACAAAAAGTTTGTGTGCGTAAACAGGTGTTATAAACAAAGAAGTTCAGTAAAACAATCACTGGTGCAATTGGTTTAAAATAATGAATGTTTCTATTAAACCAATCGTGTTCTCTTCATGAAAGTATTCCACTACAAGCGTATTCATTGAGTTATTATTATTATTATCTAACTTTTCACAATCAAAGCTTTCTACTCACTATTTTCTATTGATCAATTTCTATTGATTAGCTTTAAATGTGAGTTTGAATTTCGATATCAATAAAGTTTAATCAATTCGACATAATATATGTTTCTTGAAAATTTCATTTATGTTGTAACTTGTGAAAGTCGTCTACATTAGAATCAGAGAAGTAAAAAGCTGTATTGAATAACACATCTTGAGCTTCTTCACTCATTGATGAGAATCGCTATGATTTTCAAGAACTAAAAAACCAATGGATGAATCGTGGAAGATTGACAATCATTATCTACACTGTAATCATGGCTGTTTTCTACTGTAGGAGTAGGTTGGAAGAAAGCTAGGGGCGGGCAACCCAAAACATGGCATAAATCCATGTGAAGTCACTGACAAGTGGATTGAGTCACATTAGTAAATGTAGACTACCTGGTTGAGGCCCACGAGATGATATTAACTGATGGTTAGAGACCTTGAACGACATGGTTCAGAATCGTTTGCAATGGTGCAAGTGCATCCACTCTTTGTGTTATCTCAAATCCTAATCTTCTGGATTCGTCAGCACCTCTGTCTTTTTTTTAAAAATTTATTTCACTGAATTATACTTCTTCAATAATATCTTCGAACCCTAATCTCTCCGATTACTACTAATACTTTTATTACCTCTACTACTATGGGATTTGAAGTGACAATTGCATCTCTCTGTGCTAGTGTGATATGGAAACTTTAACTGATGTACTTACGTACGAAGTTATACGTTGCTGTTAATAAAGACACTACACTGCACTAAGAATCAGAAATAGACATATGAAAAGAATGTACAGCAATCGGATAGAACTTGAGAAGAGGTCCCCGTGACAGAATGGATCGAAGAATGCTGATCGGTCGCCTATGCTCCATCGGCGGTAATAGGCATTACGTATTAAGCATTTATCCAAAGAAAGCCGTATCGATTACCTGGTCGTTAGGTGTTGAAGTAATACTCCGAGAAAACGTGGTACTGGGTGCAGAACTTTCCTAATCGTCTTGCGAAAACATCTTCATCACCAACCTACACTTCATACAAAATGGATCACTTTATAATTAATGCCACAGCAATCGAATTGACTTATCCCGTCAGTTTTATTGACAAATGTCTCTCCTTTTTAGGTTTTATTGTAAACGGATTAGAAATTTTTCGATATTCTAGATCGATAACACATTAAAAACCAGTCAGCGTATTTTTACGATTTAATAAGTAGTTACATCCACATGGCTTCTATCTCTAACAACAACCGAGATAGAAAAGATCAGTCGACTGATATGTCAAAAGGACAAGACAATAGAGAAATTGACGGCCAACTGAGAAAAAAAGGAACCATACAGTACAAACAAGAAATCACTAGAAAATATCTCATTTCTGCATTGAAATAAGTTTACAGACACTGGGACAACAGTGAAATACAACAATGAAATACGTATGCAATTAAAAAACCACTTAGCTCAATAAGATACGTGTGTGTGTGTCTGTGTATATAGTGCGAGAGTCTGTGTATTGTGTCTACTTTTGTAATGTCAATTTGATATGCTTGAACTATTATTACGAGTTTACCTTAGTCGGAAAAAGAGAGTAAAGTTCCGTCGACACGACATGCTACTCGAATCCGGATGTCCCAACCCTCCATTGAGTAAACAAAGAAGACTTGATATGAAGTAGAACATGCATTCTACATGCATCCACTAAACACAATGATCTCAAGCACACAAATCGAATTTACTTATACATTATAGGAACGTCCTTGGGAAAGTCACTAAAACAACACAGCAGCCAATCACAACCAGGGATTTTCCTGGTGGGGAAATGTGATCTCAAGGTCAACTGATCAGCCCATGAATAAAATCTAAAATTAAGACATTTATCAAGTGAGTTCTGGGGATCTAACATTTCCAACAGTAATCAAGTTGTAATCAGTCACAGTTGATCAATGATTGATCAGTTATCAATCACACAGATAATCAGTGATGAATAATTATTAATCAATCAGTTAATTCAATAAAACATGGGGTTTTTTTTTAATAGAAAAATCACATCTGTCACTTACTTTGGTATCATTCGAATGATACGTTTCAACAAATCACCATGATTAATCAATAATCGATTTTTTATACGATTCAACAAACGTGTTATTCGTAGACCATGAATAAATTTATTCATTAAACCAGAAATGAATTGTTTAGTGATGTGTTCATTGAATGATAAATTATCACCTTGGTGTTTTTTTTTTACAATAAAAAAAAAATTAAAGAAGTTGTCAAGAATGCATGTAAAAATACGTCAATTTGATATGCTTGAATTATTATTACGAGTTTACCTTAGTTGGAAAACGAGAGTGAGGATACAGTGACATGATAGGCTACTCTAATCCGAGCATCTCAAACCCCCAATGAGTAGAAGAAGAAGACTTGATATGAAGTAGAATCTGTATTCGACAAGCATCCAGACAGTACGAGGTCCGAGTTCAGAAGAGGATAAGGATCCGTGTCCGGGTCATAAAACATTACAGATAATGTAGATTTATACAGTTATGACAACCAATAGGAAACAACCTTTGAAGTATGTGACATTGATAGCTAGAACGACCATACCAATTGACCAATAGGAATTAACCAGTAGGAATCAACCAATAGAATTTACACTTACAAAAAGATAATTCTCTTAGAATATTTAATGAATATCCTAACAGAAGTAGACTTGATATCGAAAATGTTGACAGAAAAGAAATAACAACAGACCAATAAAGAGTATGATTATCAGTTGTTGATAAAGTTATAGTGACTATTTAAGTTTAGTCATATTAGTTGTGGATTAATTCCTTGTGATGACATCATAATGCTAATAGTACATAGCACATTTGAATTCATTTTTTTTTAATATTTCATTAGTTATTATTGTGTCTTTAAAATTATTCCAGTGTGAAACAGTAATGCTCGGTGAACAACACACAGAGTAGATGAAGTTGTATAAGACTGTGGATTGAATGAATTTTGAAATTAGACATGAACATCGTTAGATTATCTGATAGCCTGGTGACTGATGAAATCTCAGCTCGGATACAGAAAGCTCTATTTGCTTTTGCCAATTTACGCCGTTTATTGTGTAGGAGAGATATCCGTTCGCTAACCAAAGGACGAGTGTACTGTGCAGCGGTTCGCTGTGTTTTCCTATACGGATGCGAAACATGGCCGTTAAGAGTAGAAGATGTTCGTAGGTTACTAGTTTTCGATCATTGATGTCTGACAAGCATTGCTCGTATATCTTGCGACAACCGAGTAAGCAATGCTGTCGTTAGGAAACGAGTACTAGGTAAGGATGGTAGATCAGTAAATGAAGTGGTGAAACTTCATCAGTTGAGGTGGTTGGGACATGTGTTGCGTATGCCTAACCACCGACTGCCTCGACGAGCTATGTTTTGTGGTGTGAAAGTAGGTTGGAAGAAAGGTAGGGACGGCCAGAACAAAACATCGCAGAAATCCATGAAGTCACTAACAAGTGGACTGAGTCATTTTGGTAGATGTAGGCTACCTGGCTGGGGTCAGCGAGACGAAAGTCACCGGTGGTTAGAGACCTTGATCGACATGGCTCAAAACCGTTTGCAATGGTGCAAGTGCATCCATTTGTTGTGCTCTCTCAAATCCTAATCTTCTGGATTCGTCAGCACCTCTACCTTTGTCTTTCTAACCTTATCTCACTGAATTATACTTCTTGAATAATATCTTCAAACCCTAGTTTTCTTCATAACCATTAATACTTCTACTATCTTTATCACTATGGGATTTGATTTGACATTTGCGTCTGTGTGCTAATGTGGTATGGCAACATGAACTTATGTACATAGCAACGAAATTCTTACGTTGCAACTGACTGACTGATCGTTAGATGATAGTTCAGTGGTCTAGAATTTAAGCATTCGTGCACAAGGCTGAATGTCATAGGTTCAACTTCTGTATGTAGTGGGAGTTGTGGATGATGCGCACTGCTGATATATACCATACCAAGATGAGACACAGCCGTCTTTCAGTGCTTATAGGTTTCACATCGTGATAGTCCAATATTGATCGACTTATGATTTCAAAAGTAATTCAATTTATATTGTGACCAGACTCAACCAGTTTTACTTCTGGCTATACGGTTACGCTCCCACGTCTGTAAGACTAACTTACTATTCAGGTTCCTCAAAAAACATCCACGATGTGGGCAGCCGGGAACTGACATCCATCCTCATATCCTTAACGGTACACGAGACCAAATAAGTCAAAATCAGAACTTTCATAGCTTATTTTAAGCCTTAAATGAGTACATTAGCAATGCCGAAAAGGTCGTGAATGGCACTAGTTTAAATGCAAAGATATGAAACTTTATCCGCACTAGGCACACAGTATATATAAGTTCGATGCGGCCCTTTTTCGGGAAACTGGCAAACTTAGCGAATTCAGAATGGCTGCCGACGATAAGTTCCAATCCTTTCATGATATACTCGATGAAGGGGAAAATACTATGGAGAACAACTAGGGAGAGATCGAAGGAGCAAGGACTTCAATGTATCATGAGGTTCTGAGCCATAAAAGGGATCATCACCACGAATGGATATCTCTTCATACTCTTGATAAGATCCAAGGAGGGAGGAAGAAGAAGGCAGCAGTCAGTATCAGCCGAACAAGAGTATAGGAAGCCAGGGTAGAAGCTTAGTACAAATAAGTCGACAATTAGGCGAAGAGGAGCATTAGGAATGATAAACGGAAATATGTGTATGATCTATCAATGATATCAGTAAAAGCTGCAAGAGCAGGAAACATGAGATAACTACGAAGAGGTTTGCTGTAAAATACCATAAACCAGATCAACAAGTCAAGAACAAGAAAGACAAAGCAATCGGCGACATTGAAGAACAGCGAAACAGGTGCGTAGAGCATTTTGAAGAACTTTTGAATAGACCAGCTCCACTGAACCCACTCAGTACCAAAGCACCACCTAAAAACTTCCCAATTAATGTAGACTCACTAACAGTAAGAGAAATCATCATGACCACCAGACAAATCCAGAGTGCCAAAGTAGCACGACCAAACGCCGTTCCAGCTGAGGCATGCAAAGCAAACATAGCAGTAGCGTCAAAGATATTCAAGGCTCTGTTGAGTGAGATTTGGAAGTAAGAACAAGTATCAAAAAACTGAAAAGAAGTACACCTCATCAAAATACCAAAGAAAGGAGATCTGAGCAAGTGTGAGAACTACAGAGGCATCACTCTTCTTTCAATACCAGGCAAAGTCTTCAACAGGGTATTGTTAAACAGAATAAAGGACTCCGTAGACACCCAACTTCGATATCAACAGGCTGGATTTTTATAACGATCGATCGTGTGTCGTCCAAATTGCAACATTACGGACCATTGCGGAGCAATCAATTGAATGGAATTCACCACTCTACATCAACTTCATTGACTACGAGAAAGCATTTAATGATGTAGATAGGAAAACTCTGTGGAGGCCTCTTCGACACTACGGTGTGCCTCAGAAGATATTCAAATTATTACTGAATTCAAAATCGTGCATAGAGGACAACTCACAGACTCATCCAAAGTGAAGACCGGTTTCTGGCAACGTTTCTTATTCTCCCACTTTCACTTTCTTCTCGTTATCGACTGAATTACGAAGACGTCAACATTTAGAGGAAAGCACGGTATCCAATGGACAACTACAATGTAGCTGGGTGATCTAGACTTCGCAGATGATCTGGCTCTTCTATCTCACATGCAAGCGAAGACAACCAGTGTAGCAACAACCTCCTATACAGCACAGTTAAATCTCTTGCTTAAATACAAATCTAGACATACACATATATTGATATGTGATTCAGTTAAATATCATTGAATTTTAAAAAAGAGTTAACATTTTTCAATATACTACTTACTACTATTACTACTGTGATGCGCGCTACTTATAAGTAGTATATGACGTGATTGTAAACGTAATGTCTGGCAACCGAAGATGGGGGAAGATCAAGAAAGGAAGAGTGGGAACACAATGGAATTTGCGTATGAAACGCATGAATAAGTGAAATGTCAGACAATGGATTGAAGATTTGCTAATTTCACCGTTTACGCGATATGGTTTTCCTATTTTATACTGATTAACTCTGTAATTTGCGATAAATACAATTTGGTTGTCCTCACCTGTGTTCTTCTCCTTCACTACACTACTACTACTACTACTACTACTTACCTTCTAATTGAATTTGAATTTGCATTAAATTCATTGCATTCAAACAATTCCCTATAATTGTTTGTATCAAATCATTATGTTGTTGTAGAATTGTTTTTCTTTCAGTATGACATTGAATATTGAAATAATACAATAAATCTTCTATATCTAATGCCCGGGAATTCAATAGTTCCAATTTATTATGATACATTGTTAACATTGATAATTGATCAACTAATATATTTAATAATAAATTATAATTTATCAGATTGATTTGATTTTTAATCATATTTTCAAATTGATTTAAATATTTAGTGAATTGTTGTTGATAATGATGATGATGATGAATATTATTTATTGTAGATTGTTTCAAGTTATTATCATTGTTTTTAAATAATGACGACGGTACAATTTCGTTCAATGTACAATAATTCCAATGAATAATTGGGAGTGAACATATTTGTTTTGGTATGAACTGATAATGATGATCAGGATCAGGATTAGGATCATTCAAAGTTATCATTTTATTCGTTGAATCATTCGCGCCATAAGATGATAATTTGAAATTGTGTAAATTGTTAGTTTTATTATTATCATTGTTAAAATCTAATAGAATATTGATATTGTCATGTTGACCTATTTGAATAGTTGTTGCCTTGAGAAATGAAAAAAAGATAATAAAAGGGAAGAAGTATAATCATAGATCATAACAAAATTTATAGAAAGAATTTTTTTTAAAAAAAGAAAGATGAAAATTGTTGATTGAATGTAGGTAGGTAGGTAGGTAGGTAAACACACTTCAGCTCGTATTCTATGCAAAATATGATGCCATCTACAACTGTTGTTATTAAACTTGATAGGAATGAAAGTCAACGTAGTTTAGATACGTGTCTTGATCCAGTTTAAATCCAAAAACGAGTGATTTAGGTAAATGACGGTTCTAATATTCATCATAATTATAAATGCACATCATTACCTAAACAAATATTACCACTTAGTTATTCCACCAACAATTGTTCAATTATTCAAATCAACAGCAACCAATAAGTGTTATTCTATCCCTTCTGGATAGATCAGATTCATTCGACAGATAATATTTGGTTGCTTTATAACACAGAGTGTTTCCTATTGTGGAAGAGTGCTTCAATTCACAGTCAAAATGCACAATTCCAGTCAGTATCAAGCAACACAATCAAAAGAGGAACAAATCAATATGGCTGTTGCCATGTCACTAAGCATCAGTTTAAACAACCATAAATGCAATTCAGAAAGAAACATAGAAACTCAGTGAAGGCAGAACAAATAGAAACTATAATAAAATGCAAATATTATCATGACAAAATGGAATCGAATCGACTACACAAAATGTACAATTGAAGGAAGCTCAATCAGAACAAATTATAAATGTATACATGGAGGGATTATCACAAACAAAGCCTTCAAAAATGGGTCTTACAGTCGGAAAGAGTAGTTATAAGTCATAAAATGTTTACTAATATGTATATCGTGAATGAGTCATTGTTAGACCACAACCATTAGAGACCTGGAAGCACTAAACGTCCGTTTCGTCCTTACATGGGACTACTCATCAATGGCAGTGAACATCCACGCGCGACTCCTGCTACTTGCAGGATTCGGACCCAAGACATTCGATCTTACACACAAAAGCCTAACTTCTAGACCTCTTTTTAAATGTGCACTGCTGATGAATCCCATATTAAGACGAAACAGCCGTCCAGTGATTTCAGGTTTCCAATTGTGGTCTAACAATGATTCATTCATGATTTCAAGGCAAAACTACCATCTGCAAAATACTCTGATGAAAAAAATATGTCTATCTATGCTACATTGAACATATTCACAACAGACATTTAAGAATAATTGGCTTCCAAATACCCTGATACAGTCCGCTCTACTCAAATTGCTCTCTCATACTCACGAGGCGTGTAAAGCACTCAGTACTAACGTAGTTCTATATCTATCTATCTTCTTAGCATCTTCAGAATCGTTACATGAACTGATTATATTCAAAAGTCAGTCAGTTAGCTACAATATAGAATTTGGTACGTACGTATATCAGTTCAAGTTACCATACCAAATGAGCTCAGACAAATCGAATCGTCTATTGAAATCCTATATTTTTAAATGCAGAAGAAGAAGCATTAACGGCGATGGAGAAGACTAGAATTTGAAGACAGTATTATTCAAGAAGTATAATCCAGTGAATTAAACTTTAGAAAGAGATAGAGATGATGAGGTGATGAGGAATTCAAAAGATTACAGTTTGGGAGAAGACAAATCAAGAATGCACCTGTGTCATTGCAAACAGTTTTTAGACGTAACCAGTTAGTGTATACCTACTAACATGACACAGTCTAATTGTCAGTGACTTCATAGATTTATGCCATGTTTTAGTTTGGCCACACCCTCTTAGCTTTCTTCCAGTCTACCCAACCATCCTAATCGAGTCGATCGAGTTTATATTATTCATAGAAACAAAACCTGTTTTTATACAAATAAAAACACTTTCATTCTTAATTTCTGTCAAATTACACAAACACACACAACCTTATTGATTTCAAATGATTTAAAACTATAAGAAATATGTCATCTAATCAATGCAACGAACTTAATCACAACATTAATCAACAATAATCAATGTGTGTATAAACAAATCTCATTGAAAAAAAAATGAAACTAACTGAACACAAACACTTGTTGAATCAAAACTGAAGAAAATAGAATTAATTTCAATGTGTGTGTACTTGTAAATTAATTGATATGAGCATTTGTTAAATTCGGATTGCGTTTAATGGTTTGATTACAATTATTCGTAATTAGTTTGTTGGCTTATCAAAAAAACAGTAATTGTATCTAGTAGCTACCAGATTCGGTAGTAGCAGTAGTAGCAGTAGCAGTAGCAGCAGTAGTAGTAGTAGTAGTAGTAGTAGTAGTAGTAGTAGTAGTAGTAGTAGTAGTAGTAGTAGTAGTAGTAGTAGTAGTAGTAGTAGTAGTAGTAGTAGTAGTAGTAGTAGTAGTAGTAGTAGTAGTAGTAGTAGTAGTAGTAGTAGTAGTAGTAGTAGTAGTAGTAGTAGTAGTAGTAGTAGTAGTAGTAGTAGTAGTAGTAGTAGTAGTAGTAGTAGTAGTAGTAGTAGTAGTAGTAGTAGTAGTAGTAGTAGTAGTAGTAGTAGTAGTAGTAGTAGTAGTAGTAGTAGTAGTAGTAGTAGTAGTAGTAGTAGTAGTAGTAGTAGTAGTAGTAGTAGTAGTAGTAGTAGTAGTAGTAGTAGTAGTAGTAGTAGTAGTAGTAGTAGTAGTAGTAGTAGTAGTAGTAGTAGTAGTAGTAGTAGTAGTAGTAGTAGTAGTAGTAGTAGTAGTAGTAGTAGTAGTAGTAGTAGTAGTAGTAGTAGTAGTAGTAGTAGTAGTAGTAGTAGTAGTAGTAGTAGTAGTAGTAGTAGTAGTAGTAGTAGTAGTAGTAGTAGTAGTAGTAGTAGTAGTAGTAGTAGTAGTAGTAGTAGTAGTAGTAGTAGTAGTAGTAGTAGTAGTAGTAGTAGTAGTAGTAGTAGTAGTAGTAGTAGTAGTAGTAGTAGTAGTAGTAGTAGTAGTAGTAGTAGTAGTAGTAGTAGTAGTAGTAGTAGTAGTAGTAGTAGTAGTAGTAGTAGTAGTAGTAGTAGTAGTAGTAGTAGTAGTAGTAGTAGTAGTAGTAGTAGTAGTAGTAGTAGTAGTAGTAGTAGTAGTAGTAGTAGTAGTAGTAGTAGTAGTAGTAGTAGTAGTAGTAGTAGTAGTAGTAGTAGTAGTAGTAGTAGTAGTAGTAGTAGTAGTAGTAGTAGTAGTAGTAGTAGTAGTAGTAGTAGTAGTAGTAGTAGTAGTAGTAGTAGTAGTAGTAGTAGTAGTAGTAGTAGTAGTAGTAGTAGTAGTAGTAGTAGTAGTAGTAGTAGTAGTAGTAGTAGTAGTAGTAGTAGTAGTAGTAGTAGTAGTAGTAGTAGTAGTAGTAGTAGTAGTAGTAGTAGTAGTAGTAGTAGTAGTAGTAGTAGTAGTAGTAGTAGTAGTAGTAGTAGTAGTAGTAGTAGTAGTAGTAGTAGTAGTAGTAGTAGTAGTAGTAGTAGTAGTAGTAGTAGTAGTAGTAGTAGTAGTAGTAGTAGTAGTAGTAGTAGTAGTAGTAGTAGTAGTAGTAGTAGTAGTAGTAGTAGTAGTAGTAGTAGTAGTAGTAGTAGTAGTAGTAGTAGTAGTAGTAGTAGTAGTAGTAGTAGTAGTAGTAGTAGTAGTAGTAGTAGTAGTAGTAGTAGTAGTAGTAGTAGTAGTAGTAGTAGTAGTAGTAGTAGTAGTAGTAGTAGTAGTAGTAGTAGTAGTAGTAGTAGTAGTAGTAGTAGTAGTAGTAGTAGTAGTAGTAGTAGTAGTAGTAGTAGTAGTAGTAGTAGTAGTAGTAGTAGTAGTAGTAGTAGTAGTAGTAGTAGTAGTAGTAGTAGTAGTAGTAGTAGTAGTAGTAGTAGTAGTAGTAGTAGTAGTAGTAGTAGTAGTAGTAGTAGTAGTAGTAGTAGTAGTAGTAGTAGTAGTAGTAGTAGTAGTAGTAGTAGTAGTAGTAGTAGTAGTAGTAGTAGTAGTAGTAGTAGTAGTAGTA